TTTTTTTTTTTTTTTTTTTTTTTTTTTTTTTTTTTTTTTTTTTGTGTGTGTATATATCTCCCTCGTTCGCTTTGTGCTTTGTGCTTTGGTTTGTTTGTTTGTTTTCTTTGAGCTTTTCGTGTTTTCTCCATTTGTTCGGTCGACGTTCTTTTTTGTTTTTTTTTTGTTTCCTCTTTGCTTCCCTTGGACTTCACGATCGTTCAAACAGACTGAGTTTGTTTCAACGCCGCACCCACCAATCGAACTCGTTTCGTCAGTTTCAGTTCCTTTCCTTCTTTTTAATTTTCTTTCAAATGTTCCCTTCCCTTCCGTTCCGTTCCGTTCCTTTTGGATTCCGTTTCCGTTCCGTTTCCGTTCCGTTCGTTTGCATTCTGTCATGTTCTGCAGGTTACGTTACGTGTCGTTACGTTAGCTTACCATACGTTACTATATTACGTGACGCTACGTTAAATTACGTACCGTTACGTTACGTTAAATTACGTAGTCGCACGTTAGAAAAGCTTACGATACGATACGGTACGTCACGTTGCGATACGTTGCATGACGGTGCGTTACGTTGCATGACGGTGCATTACGTTACGTTACGTTACGTTACGTTACGTTACGTTACGTTACGTTACGTGACGATAAGAATCAGGTGGGCTGCATTAGCAGCAACATTAGGAGTCGGTACAGGGAGTGAAGAAAACAGTCTCTCTGTTAGGTACACATTACGTGGAATTACGTTTCAGTTTACTTCGTCGCTGAGCGAAGTTATTTGTCAGGTTGTTGGCATCAATAAATTTTAATTTGATTGTAACGTTACGTTTTGGTTTCCTTCCCCCCCGCCCCGGCCCACACCGGGCGCCGCTGTTTAATTTATTCGATTTTTTGTTTTTAGAAGTTACCACGAAAGAGTGTATTGTCGATATCCAGTGAAAGCTCCAGTGTTCATTTGCCAGAGTCTGTGTAAGTATATTTACTCTCGCATGAATGAATCTGGCCATCATAGTGGTCGAATACGTGCTGGAAAGGCTCCCGTGTTCATTCGCCCTCCGTCTGTGTAATTGTCTATCCCTTCCCCCTTTCCCTGCAGTGTAGGATCATCCGCCACCATAGCAAAACCATAGCCGCCATAGCCACCATAGCCACCATAGCCCTCATGGCAGCCATGGCCGCGGCGAGCTAGAGCATAATGAAGTAGAGAAGAAGGGAAAGGGATACAGTCGTCATCGGAATAGAACGCTGGGTCATTATAGCCGTATTTGGAGCAACTTTTCGTCCAGATACAGCCAAAATTACCGAGCGTTCTATTCGAGTGAAGATGGTAGGTGGCATTGTAGCTGTTGCTGATCAGCCAGGCGGGTGCGCAGGTATGTTGTCGACGACATCAAACAGAAGAGGAAGAAGATGAAGAATAAGAAGATGAAGAAGATGCAGCAGCAGCAGGAGCAGCAGGAGTAGCAGCAGCAGCAGCAGCAGCAGCAGCAGCAGAAGAAGAAGAAGAAGAAGAAGAAGGAGAAGAAGAAGAAAAAGAAGAAGAAGAAGAAGAAGAAGAAGAAGAAGAAACAGTAGTAGAAGAAGAAGAAGAAACAGTAGTAGAAGAAGAAGAAGAAACATTAGAAGAAGAAGAAAAGAAGAAGAAGAAGAAGAAGAAGAAACAGTAGTAGAAGAAGAAAAAGAAATAGTAGAAGAAGAAGAAGAAGAAACAGTAGAAGAAGAAGAAAAAGAAGAAACAGTAGAAGAAAAAGAAGATGAAGAAAAAAACGAAGAAAAAGAAGATGAAGAAAAAAACGAAGAAAAAGAAGATGAAGAAAAAAACGAAGAAAAAGAAGATGAAGAAGGAGATGAACAGATGGTGAAGAAACAGTAGAAGAAGAAGAAGAAGAAGAAGAAGAAGTAGAAACAGTAGAAGAAGAAGAAGGAGGAGAACAGAGGGAAGAAGAAGAAGAACAAGAAGAAAAAGAAGAACAAGAAGAAGAACAGATGGTGAGGAGGGTTGTGAACATTGTGTTAAAATTGGTGAAAATTGTCAAAATTTTGTTATTTTGGGGTGAGAATTGTGAAATTTATGTTTTCTGTTTTTCTTTTTAAATGAATTCATTATGCTTTTCTTGGGTGAAGATCGTGAAAGGTTTGTTTTTTTTTCTTTTTTTTCCGTGAAGACCGTTAAAATTCAAAGGCCATTATTGCAAAAATTAAAATTTAAATAAAATTTTTAAATATTTCTTTATTAGGGCCTCACCCAACCCACATCACTCACCTGAAAGAAAAAAAAAACGCAACTTCAACTGCATCTTCCTGCAGAAGGTGGCCATATTCATCGGTTACTAACGTACTACTGCAAGCAACGGATTTTTCTCTCAGAAATGCAAACGAATATTCGTTTTTTTTTGTTTTTTTTTTTTGTTCGCTTCAATCTCCTGTGGGCAATTTCTGCAGGAAGATGCACTTGCATTCTTTTTCCTATTTGGTTTGGTCGGTGGTGTGGGTAGGGCCATAGCTCCACTTGTCTCCACAAGCACAAACGACAAAAATCATGGCAGCTGTGCACTTTCGTTTCTCGTTTTGCGCAGCGAGGCCCTAGTAGGGCCTAGGCCCTTGCTCGCTTTTCCCAAAAAAATAAAGTAAAAAATAGGCCCTTGCTTATCATCGAAGGACTCCACAATGATTAGCACTTGGAGAGCTCAGGAAAAGATCTCCAAGACCACAAAAAGACATCTGGCCGGAAAGTTCAGCCCAAAAAAAAAAAAAACGAAGAGAGAAAAAAGAAAAAAAAAAAAGAAAAAAGAAAGACATTTGGAAGTTCCTCTGGTTTGTCTGCCCTTCGCCCGTCACTGAGGGAGAGGAGGACTCGTTATATACTTTTCCTTTTTTTTTTTTTTTTTTTTTTTTTTTTTTTTTTTTTTAAATGGTTGGGGTGGGGACTCAACTCGAGTTGAACTTAAAAAAAAAAAAAAAACAACACTCGAGTTGAACTCGCGAAATACCGCGATTTGGCAGACGGAGAAGGCTCCAACCGTTGAGACGGTCAGAATCCGGATTTTCCGAACTTCTCCACAGACACGTCCACATTCATCTGTCCAATGCGATACTCCTTGCTAGTGGTAGCTCGGAGTCTCGGACTACCTCCCCGCAAGAGTTTTCCACGCCCAAATTAAGGAGGAAGATGTGAAGCGATGCCAGACTTTCTAAATTTGGAGAGCGAGAGCCATATTTCGTGGAAGAGGACTGGAAAGCAGAGGAGGAAGGAGAAGAAGAAGAAGAAGAAGAAGAAGTAAAAGAAGAAAAAGAAGAAAACACTCCTCCTAGGGCCTTGCTCCACCAGGACAACCACTACTCGTCAAATGTGCAAAAAGAGAATCATGGCTCTTCCGCTAGAACATGGGAAGATACATACACAGCCATTTTTTTGTGTCTTTTATGCATGTGGAGACTGGAGAGTAGTGAAGAGAGGCCCGCCCCCCGGGGAAAAAAAAAAGAAAAAAAAGGAAAAAAGAGAGGCCCGCCCGTTGCCTGGTACTAGCTTACTATGGCATATTTAAACTTGGACGTCCCTTCATATATCGGACTGCAACCACCTCAAGATCTGCATGTGTATGATGGCAATCACGCCTAAAGCGCAGTCAGAGAAAAGGGATTTATTTTATTTTATTTTTTTTCACCAGTGTTAGTAGTGCTGACGAAATGTCCTTCGGGACATCCGTTAAAATTGGAACGATACAGAGAAGATTAGCATGGCCCCTGCGCAAGGATGACACACATAAATCGAGAAATGGTCCAAATTAAAAAAGAAAAAAGAAAAAAAAAAGAACGAAAAAAGTAGTGCTGACGAAAGGGCTGAGTACCTTTTTCAACCGAATAGAGTGCCATGGCTTCCGTCTTCCCCCGAACCCAACGCACCCTTATTTTGATTGTTTCTGGCCGGCAATATAGCTTGTATACATTCATTTTTAGGGTGCGTTATGTTCGGGGGAAGACGGTAGGCTACCATTGTGGCTCCGGGCAGGCCCAAAAAAAAAAAAAAAAAAAAAAAAAAAACAGACACTTTCTTGTTCTTCTTGTTCTTCTTCTTGTTCTTCTTCTTGTTCTTCTTCTTCTTCACAAAG